CCCACCATAACTGCCGTAAAGAGGCTTAACGCATACGGCAAAAGTTATGTTCTGGTCGTCTGGAAAACTAGCATCCTGGATTCTTAAAACATTGTGTGGGGCTGAACACGGGTCTTTGGCTTGTACAATTGAAACTGCAAACGGCTCTTCGTCAGTCTTGATGGGACAATAAAGGAGAGTGGCTTTGAAACTGTAAAAGATATAGTTTGATTTGAAAAAGCGATGATAAACATGAAACCAGTATATGCATATACATGTACTAACTCAATCATGCACCATACCCATCACTAAAATATAGTATTCGGTCAACTATGATGTTGATGGGGGTGGGGGATCAAATGATAAAAAAATTACTCTTGTGAACAACACTGCCACTGTTTATGTTTTCAACATTTGTCTGTTTGTAATCTATTACTTCTATCAACATAATCTTGATTCGCTTGCTTTGAGGTTATCATATAGTATTGTAAGATGTACTCACAACCCAGGAGACATGATTGCTTTTCCCGAACAGTGTGTAATCCGGTGAGTTACTTTGCCTTCTGAACTTTTAGGCCGGGCCCAAATCTGACAAACAAATGGAACGTGGTATTCAGAAGTCATGGATGTAACTACCACCTGTCTTTTGTTATATCCGGTGTAGAGGTATGCTGAGAACACATAATCCAGCGAATCGTTTGAAGGAAGAATGACAGGCATCCACTGCTGGGTAAGCGGTATATCTGGAGACACCGCGGGTAAATTGGAGCAGTTGGTTGTTGAAAACTTTGAAAACGAAATCTCTTCACTTTTGTATGATCCATTTGATTTGGTGTTCCCAAAATTAGAGAATTTGGTTGTTGAAAAATTTGAAAATGAAAACTCTTCGCTTTTATATGATCCATTTGCTTTGGTGCTCCCATCTCTTCCTGGTACTGTTCTATTACTGTCTTCATGCTGATGAGACCCGATATTCATGTTTGATTCCGTTTTTTCACTTACTGCCACGTATCTAAACCCGCCTGGTTTTGACTGCATTGCAGACCATATCAAAGCAGGAACAAGAGAAAGTGCACATAATGAGATCAAAAACATCAATTTTTTGGGTATCTTGTATGAATACGGCATCTTTTCTCACAATGATGGCTCACTCATGTATTAGTGGATTCCTTAACCCAATTTCTGCCCTGGAATCTTCTTTTCAGCCTCCAGCATATACGTAAAATGTATATATCTGACGACACATAAGAAGTTTTTTAAGGTGATTTCTTACATAATAAGATATATAAAGCGATTTGCTATGCGCTACCAGTATGATTTAAATATTTTACTGAAAAGCTTCGTTCATGTGAGGGGCATCCCTCATGACTAATCAGAAATAGCTGATTCCGTAACTATGCTCTATTTAATTGCAGAACATTGGTGAATTCTAAAAGTATGAATCTCAAGTTGCGCAAACACACACACACACACAAACACACACACACACGCACACACGTGTTAAACACTGAGAGTAATGAAAAAACACCACATCATAACCAAGAACGTTGTGCTAAGATAAGGTAAACCAAGCCGACTGTTTTACCTCAATTGTAGCACAGCACCTGAGCATGAAAACACCGGGGGGGGGGGGGGGGGGCTTACAGGAGTTCATTTATACCATGTTACAGTCCTCAAACTATCATCACTTTAGCCAATCAACCTGTGACATATCCAATTAGCCCATGTTTTCACAAATTAGTGAACTTTTGTTCTTCTTGTGATATATATTTATACTCCCCTACCGAAAAAAGTGTCACTCCTAACGCAATGTGTACAGTGGTACAGAAAATCATGTCATAAACAAATGCTCTTCATTCAGCTTCTATAGGGATTATTTTCACAACAATTTATTGATTGTACAACCCATCAATAAGCTGACCATAGTAAGAAAATCAAAGCCATATTTTAGTATTTTGAACAGTATGATCTGGATTTGAGGACGCACCTGTCGCGTCTATGCGTGGAAACAAAACGTTCTGTAATGTTTGCACAGGGTTGCCGTTCCACATATGGTGCATAGATAATATAAGAGCATATTTGTTTACAGAAATGTCGCTCAGTTATCTATTTTCAAGGATTTTTTAAAAAATTGTGCTAGAGAAGCAGACGGGCGCAATCGCCCAGACCTGCTTGTGCTCACAAGATTCATCAAAATCATTTTTCTGGAAATTTCAATAATTTCCCCTTTCTCATCAAAGGGTTTATGAAAGGGTTTATCGTATCCAAAACTGAATGACAAAACTGACAACGTAAAATCATAGTTCATTGTCATTGACAAGACCTAGTTAAAAAACATGTCCACAAGGAAGGCTAGTGGTACACGTATAAAAAAGCTCACCAACGTTATGGTTAAAAGATGTATTAGGCATATTTTGCCCAAAATTTAGTCCACTAATGGATAAGCACAACGTGGCTATAGGCCATTTCAAATAGAAGTAGAACATATACCTTTACGTCAGCACGTACTGATGCTATAATGGCAAAAGGGAACCAATTTCGTATGGTCGGCTGTCTGAAATTAAAACACGACATGTCTGTCCATACAACCAGGTGTGGACTTCTATTATTTTGAATGAATCTGCATTGGGATGGTGATGGTAATCGGAAAGTATCGATACTATATTGGAAATAAAGAGTACTTTGGCATTTGAAAGTCAATATTTCTAAAAAAGACAACTTTCTGTTATCTTCGATAATAATAATAATAATAACATAGGTATTATATCAATTAATGCATTACATCTCCGTACTAAGCGCCACCGAGAGGGTACGAAACTTTTTGGACCATGAACTTTATTTGTCAGAGTATGTTATGGGGAGTGTATTCCCTACACCTGGGTTGAATGTCAGCGAATCATAGTTGGTGACATCTAAATATTACAAACATTTTCACCAAACACAAGAGGAGACCTAATGTTATATTCAAACCAATCGAAATGTACCCAGGTGGAAATCGCAAAAACACAAAATAGGTGCCGTACCCAGAAAACTAAATTAATCGCTCTATAATAACGGTGCACAAACAGGTCGAGTTTGTGGCCAGACATCTAATATTCCCAAGGTTACAGCCCAAAGCTTGGAAATTGATTCGCTGTTCTTTCCGACAAAAGGGCCTGCTGACTCTAAGGGAACCAAGAATTCAATGGCGGTCAATGAATTCCGGCTCGGAAGCCACAGAAATGAAATACTGCTGTCTGTGTTCGGGAGTGTATCCATTAAATTTGTCAATGTGCCGCAATTAGCTGACAAAACATCACACACAAACAAATTACAGGCTTGTACACGTAGTACAAAAGACCATCGACCGATAACTAGAGTGGGTTACTTTGAGTGCCAAAAGTAGAATATCTCACTTAATTCTAATGAGGGCGAATTGATATGTTTTTATTGGACAAACATGTGAAACAATTGGACAAATGGAAAAAGAAACAGTAGGGGTGATTATTTTGTCGCTTTTATACCAGGTGTCAGCTGCATATCTTGAACCTTATAGAATATCTCATATTCTATTTTTCTGACGTCTATCTTTTTTTAATTCTTCGCCATTAAAAACCGTCATAACCGCCAATTATCAACACCGACAAAGATTAAATTCTAAGTAAATTTATATCATGTAGTCTTTATCAGTTCTGAACTCGCTTTATTTCGTCATAAAGACTTCGCCTTCGTTACGTTTAAAAGCGTAGGGAAGGAGAAGTCCCATTTACTTCTTTTGGATATATAAGAGTTCGGTATTTAACAGATTTAGTATTAATAATGGAACTGGGTCTTAGTGTCTATGATTCTCGGGAAATTATTTCACTTCGTTTTTTTTTTTTCAGAAAAATGTTAAATGCAGTCATACAAAAATTATATAATAAAATTGAAAAGTCATCACATCTGAAATTTTGCATGCCTTTTCTTTCTTTTTATTTTCCCCAAATGTACATTTCTGAAACAAACGCCATATTTACATTATGATATTTGTATTTTCGCATGTAGAGATTACTAAGGGCCTGTTCACAATGAATGTATTGACCTATAGCTACTGCGCACTAACTCTACGGGTACTCTTGCTGAATGTTATCAGATTAACAGACTGACACGCCTCCTTTTGTTTCCAATGTACGGTACTCGTAAAGTCACAAGTTTTTCTGTTTTCTACTCGACACTAGGAGAAGGCGTGTAAATATGTTGATCCGATTGCATTTTATACATGTATCTACATTTTGACATTTGTATTAAAGCTGCTTGCACTACACGTGTTTCCGCGTTACAATGTACCAGCTTTACTGCGTAAATTCGGGGTTAAAAACGTACAAATCTCTAAATACAAGCGGCAACCTTTATCACTGCCCCACATTTACCAATATATATAACACAAGACTGCCTAAATAAATCATGGCAGGGGATGGTTACACCACCGAGCATTTAAAACACCAGCAGTCACGAAAGACACGTCATAATGAGGTTGCCTATAGGGGGCCACAGTCAAGACCGTCCCTTAGACGAGTACACAGACCGAGAGCGGTGAAACTCGCCATCTATTAACCCATAGCTCTCACCATTTTCCACTTCAGAGTTAAACTACGTGCCTCATGTGGTGGAGGAGGTTTTCTTTTTATATCGTAATTGAATATACCATTAGTGTTATCATAACCTGTCCCCGTTGTGAAGAATGATAGTATGAAATATCGTGAAATGTGCACGTGGGCAGTTTTGGGGCGTTTGAAGGAACACGTGCATGTATTCGATTATTTAGTATTACAGGTGACCCTAAAAGCTTTCCCTTAACCTATTAGAGCGTTAATTTAATTATTAATATCGTATTATTTAAAGCAAGCGCGAAAGTATTTGATCAATCTTTTCTGGAAGATTCATCGACGCATTCTTTAGTGTCTCTGAAAATTAACTCAAATGCTCAGTGAAACAACAATACAACGGACGCGCTTATCGACCTTTTTCCGCTTGGCGGGCACCCCCTTCACGAGTCCCACAAGGCAAGTGAATCTATTTGAATTATTAGCGTCTATCTCCTGTATAGCGTGGTTAGTTGAAATAGTTAAAGGTAAATATTCGACACAGTGAACGGGACACGTTAGCGCAGTGACGCTGTCATTTATATTAGATTGTCACTGGCACTGCACACCAGGAGGAATTTGAAATAGATTGGAGACCACGCTAATATACCGGATCAAAGTTCAAACAATAGTCAATTAATGTGATACAACGTTCACCTCCACGTGATCGGAGTTTTTATTGAACCGCCACAGGTTTATTTTACTCCGCGTGTATTTCTTTATCGGTGGTCAGGCCTAGAGAAAAGTTTGAAGTGACCAGCTAGACCTCCCACCAATGTACTCTTGAACTCAGATAGCGATTTAAAATCGGGACATGGGGATTTCGTGACATCAATGCTGAGAAGGCTGCGAGGAGCTCATAAAGTCACTAACTTAATGAAGATAACAGGTTCTTCTATTACCTCAAACTAAAGACGGAACTTATATTTAAACGACTGCTTCGAAGTATTTTATTAGCGTGTACTCACGGATTTAAATGATTACAGGATATGTGTAATACAAAAAAAGGACATGAGGCCACTTTCGCATTCCGGTTAACAACAGAATGAAATGAACTTCCTTCGGAGAAAAAGTTGACACGGATTTCAACATAAAGTTAATGCCAGGGATAGAATATGTAAAAACCATGTGGAGGGAGTGGATATTTCTTGTCTTCTGTCTTCCAGGTAAGACGGTTCATAAAATATTATGCAATAGGTGTTTATATTCAATATAATCTAACAATAGCGTACATTATAGGAGTTTACTCTCGCCGTGCCATTGAGATAAATTCAAATAGAAGCTTGCATCATACAATCCATTTAAACCAGACCGACACATCACGAGAACGGTTCAAAAGGCATTTGACACCGCGTGGCATAACATACACCATGATCTATACACCAGTAGGAGGGATGACACTACTCTAGAACTATTAGAGAGACTGATTCTATTACATCTATTACGCTACATAAACCTGATCCTCGTTTTATGTAGTCGAATTTACCAAAATGTCGGCGATTAAGATTCGTTTTAGTACCCTGAGTGCCGTATGCTATTTCATAGTTTTAAATTATCTTTATGATTAACCCGCATCACGCTGATACTGTAAGCTTAGGCTGATACAGAAAACGTGTCTGTAATATGTACTGAAACTACAGGGTGGTTATTTAATTAATTAATTTATTTATTTATGTATTTATTTATTTATTTATTTTATTTTTATTTATTATTATTTTTTTGAGAACTCTCCACCCTATAGACAGTCCCGCTATCTAGTTACAATACAGCCCTGAATATCACAGTGGTCCGTGGTACTCTTCTACTCGGTATATTGAAAATTTTATTATAAACATTCATTGTCACATGCACCATGTACAGTCTTTCACGCTTTTGTTTTCTTGCGCTTCTCGTCTAGTATGCGCACTATGGTTGAGAATACCGGTAGGTGCGACTTCTGCGTCTGCAACATATTTGGGTGCGTCACAGGGTGTAAAAGAGTGAATTAAAACTGTGGCTGGGCATTTCATTGTCACTCAGGTGTCACTGTGGGTCTTCTGTGTGATTGTACAGGTGTATCCTCCGCTTGACATCAACACAAGAGAACTTATCTTATCTCAACGGCCTGGAATGCTGGGACGCTAACTCAACACAAGCCACAGTGCCCTCATTTAACGCTTCCCTTGGTTGTTACCCCAGTCGCTTGCCTATCTCTTTATTCAAACAGAGGGTGTAATTTGCTGTCCTTTTTCTGTTGAATCACGCTGATTGTAACGATAATCTAGTAAATACAGCGTAGGCACGTAAAACGAAAAGCTGGAAATGGTCGAATGGGTTTCTCCGCTTGCTGAAACAGTGATCACTGGAATAGGCTTCACGAGCAATAATAGGGGGCGGGGTTGGATGGAAGAGGGGTGGATGGATGGATGGATGGATGGATGGAAGGTGGGAAAGCAATTGGCTCGAGAGAGTACCATTGAGAGAAGTTAAGATGTTATGAAATATAGGCCTAGAGAGAGGGGAGAGAGAGAGATGCGTATAACCCCGAGGGATAGTTCGCAAGGGAGCGTTTACTGGTGGTGAAGGGAAAGCATGTCATTTTTAAGTGTCAAAAGGCGTGGCACGATGTCACAAAGTTCGAGCCTACGGGCTTGAAACACACTCTTGCATCATATCCCAAATTATGGGGTAGAGCTGCAGAGTAAAATCACTGTAAAATGCACGAATGGATTTCTTAACCTGCCTCTTGAAATGTCGAATACCGCCCTAAGATGTTTTGCAAAAATATACTTCGCACCTCACTGCTCAGTGCAAAAATATGAAATCGTTGTGATCATAACAAAATCAGTTCCATCTAAACTATCTTCCAGAAGAATATCACTCGCAACTTTATGGAAAGTATGGGAGAAAAAAAAGGGGGATAGATTTGATGAACATCCAGGTAAAATGAACATCCAGGTAAAATGATCGTCCTTAGGTACACGGAGAAGGGTGTTTCCGAGAAAAAATGTTGTTATCTTGTGAAGGCCGATTCTTCATACTTGAGGTTCACATAAATACTCCTTGCCCACACACGAGATATTGAGTGCCAGGCCCCGTTACCAGGTGTAATCACATATCACTAGTACTTCTCATCTGTGAAGTCAGATACTGTTTTTGCCTAATATTTGTATGAAATCACGAATTACTTAAATAAACTAAATATTCCGAAAACTTTGGAGCATGGAGAACCTGTGAATATAACAGCAGGCATTAAGTGCTCAATAAACCTATTATCATTTATAATTTTAAGTAAGCAGACCCTTTCTTCTCCATCTAAAGCTATGTAATATTCTGTAATATGCTACGTAATAGTTTGTAACGCCAGGCTAAAGCGACGAAAGCAAAGACTAGGGGTGGGATTAAAGAAAGATTACATAAGAGTGATTGAAATCAATATTTTTCATTCGGAGTTTATAGTGGTTCTATTTTAATATGATGTGTACTTACTTCAGATTTAGTGAAGCCTCATTCAGTTGAGATAAATAAGCTGTTTGTTTTTGAGAGAAATAAGCTGTTTTTTGTTTATGTTTATGTTTTTGTTATTTTATTTATTATTATTATTATTATTATTATTATTATTATTATTATTATTATTAAGGGGGCACGTACCCCCCTGCCTATGATCGTATCATTATAGTATGCTAGTACATGTAACATGTAAATGTTTAGAAAAGAGTAGAGAACCTGTAATTGTAATCCGAACAGGCATAAAGTGCCCCATTAACTTCCTATTTTTTTTTTTTTTTTATAAAAACGCCGCTCTATTTCGGAATCGAAAACTGAGGAACATGATACAGTTGTACATACATATAGAAGGCATGTACATACGAAGATATCCGATAAAGACGATGCCATAAACGAAAGCCCATCTGTTGAAAAGTCAAAACGCCTCAGCTGTGGAGTTAATTAGTTTTGAGTGCGGCAAGTGAAGGTGGTTGAACATCATCGCGCAGCCTGTTTTAACATTCAACTCACGGGACTGAAATTAGTGTACTTTTACTCGACGTGCAGGTAGCCAAATTCTTAAGGGTGTCATACCCACTGAGGCTTAACACATCTACTTATCCCCCGGGGAGACTTAATGTTAAGAAAATAGTGTAAACGAACAGTTGGTGATTGGTATGGTAGCCTGCTGTAGCTGGCAGGTACGGGCAGAGTATTGGTTATTCGTTTTCGGCAGCTTTGTTTGAGAGTTTTGAGATTATCGTGTGCACGGGCCAATTGTTAACGATTATGTAGATTGTGTTACCTCGAGTACCCTGAGTTTCCCGGTGAGTTTCAATGGAGGTCTTTTAACATAACGATTTGGATACATTATACAAGTGCAGGTATAAAGGGTTTAGGTAGAGAACCCATGATTAGTCGTGATGCTGGTTGTAAATATGTTATTTACTTTTCTCACCCTGGGTTTCACGACAAGTTATGTACAGTGTCTGCCTAATATATACATAATGATAACAGACTGCTTACGTAAAACCGAGGAAGGTCAGGGTATAAGAACTGGTCGTTAAGACTATTTGTATGCTGTTTTAATCTACAATATAGGATTTTGTGAAGAATAAGATAAAAAATAAATAATTGCATACCAATTGACAAGCAGTGATTAATTGTCTGATTTGCAAACGCAAGGGCAGAATAAAAGAGGCATCGAAGGGGCAATTTCAAATGTCACTATTGGCCCTAGCTTCCCCCTAAAACTAGTAAAATCCCAGCAGATACCAAATACGAAACATAACCATATCATTAAACCCCCAATACAACCAAACATCTTACACGAGTCGGTGTAGAAATTGTTCGGAAGAGGTAAAGCTTTAGTTTGTAAAATTGATCTGTCCGATAAAAAGATTACCGGTAAACCGTTAGTTGGCAGGGCATGTAATTACACACACATCTTCATTCTCTAAGCTTTGATGTTGAACACCCAGCCTAGAGACAAGGAAGAGTTCGTGCTTTATGAAACCTGAAACTCAGTTGCGCCATGAGCGCACTTGTTCTTGTTCCAGTTCAGATCAAATGGCTTGGGGCAAGTTGAGTGCGTTATCCCATGCAGATGCATGCGACACTGGGTCTTCTGTTATAGGTTATTGGACGGTAGCTATTTCTAAGACCTCTTCAACTTAGTCACGATGTACACACCATCTTTCAAGTTTTGGTGGTTCTTTTCATTTGAATTCAGGGTGAAAATGTCACGGGATGATTTATAATGACGTAAGCCATTCTAAAAACCTCTAGGTCGCCCGGGTAGAAACAACAGATGCTGTCTTCTACTTACTAGACTCGTTGCAGACGAAGAGTCATAGGGTGGTGGTGATAAGGTTCTTCTTCAAACATTTGTCTAAAATAAATAAATTGTATTTATGGAAACATTTACAAGAAGTTATTATATGTTATATGCCAACGTAAACAAGCTGGCCTTGGGAAGGTTCACGACGCCAGGAAGAATATCCCTTTGTTTTGTTGTACCTCCCTTTATTTTAAGGCATAACGATTTTCTCACGGAAAATTACAGTCCCCATCGACTTTATCTAGTGAGTTACAGACCTGCAGACAAGAATTTGTTTGGAGAAATGGGGGACAGGGTTCTTAAAGTACACAGCAGATGACTTTTCAACAGAGAAAAAACCGAGATAGCTTCTTCTCCAGTCTTTATTTTGAGGACGCTCTTTTTTCATACGTTTTGAAAATTGTAATACAAAATCGACTGCATTTAGATGGAACGAAATGGGATATTTTTTTAATGGAAACAGTCCCTTGAGATATATAGAAATGATCAACATGTTCAAGATATCAGGTAACATAGCATGCATAAGAACATGCTGTGATTGCAGATATGTACATGTATTACCTACCTTTATCACCTCGCCCACCTCTTAGTCTCTCATTCTCTCATTCTCTCTCTCTCAAACACACACACACACACAAACATACACACACATGCGCAGGCACAGGTAAACGCATGCGCTTGCTCATTCACACACACACACACGCGCGCGCGCGCGCGGTCAAACAAACAGTGTGACACCAATATACGCACAAGTAGTTAAACAAACAACATCCCGTAAGGACGCTTGTTAGGTACGCCCATGCAGGCAGAAAGTGGGTACTGTATAGTATTACTGTGTATGGATTTTTGTTAACAAAACAT